ACACACACACACACACACACACACACACACACACACACACACACACACACACACACACACACACACACTCGCACACACACGCACATGCACGTAACTGACCATGTGATGTGAATGCCCCCTGCTCCTGTTACAGAGGAGGAGGGGAGCCAGCGATCAGTTGGTTGTAAACCTTCACACTGATGGAGGGAAGCAGCCAACATCCGCAGCAGAGTCACTTTTCTCTTTGTGTAGCACGGATTATAAACTTTTGCACCGGGACACCTCTGCCTAGCAGGGGGAGCAGCTGCATTAAGTCTGGGACAGACTTCAATCATCTACGTCTTTCTGCCGCCAGCCAGGTCACTGAGCTGGGGGGTGGTGGGGGTTGTGGGTTGGGGGGAGTGAAGTGACTCTCTGTAAAGTGGCACTTTTTCTCTTGCTCTGATGGAGAGAGCGGATCAGGTGAGCAGGTGACCTCAGACTTGCACCTTATCTCTGTCTGAAAAGCCTGGAGGTGAAGAGGAGAGGAGAAGGTGAGGACTGCAAGATTCAATTTCTACTCAAAATTAAGCTGTACTTTGTTGACCTCAACTACCAGCATTACTATTATTATTATTATTACTACTACTATTACTACTATTATTACTACTATTACTACTACCATTACTATTACTCTAGACTTGGTTAGATATTTTCTATGATGCTGCACTAGATGGAGTGACGAAGGGAAACCTGAAAAACTGCTGTGCTGTGACTGCACAAGGGTTAATCGGCCTGGACCGTGATGTCGTCTGCTGCCGATGGGTTCAACAACAAAACAGCAGCAGCTCCAAGGCGGAGGGTTAACTTGTCACAGACATTACGTCATCATATGACTCTGCCCTGACTCACATTGCAGTCAGGGTCCTGCAGGTCACAAGCATGGGTAACTCCTCCAGGAAGGAGGAGGGAGGAGAAGAAGAAGAGGAAGGGGGCAAGGATGGCGAGGAGACAGAAGTCACAGAGGAGACGAAAGAGGAAGAGGTGGAGGTCGAGGAAGAGCTTCCACTGGGGGTGGAGGAGATGTTTGAGAGCGGTGACCCCGTGCTAGACTTGAGCTACCGTAAATTCAAGCGACTGCCGTCACGTGTGTGTAGATTGATGCACCTGGAGAAGCTGTATGCTTGCGGAAACAGCCTGCGCACTCTGCCGGCCGGCACCTCCCAGCTGCAGGGTCTGCGGATACTTGCCCTCGACTTCAACAAGATGGAGGACATTCCTGCACCCGTCTTCCAACTCACTAAACTCACTCGCCTCTACCTTGGCAGCAACCGACTGATGACCCTCCCGCCTGAGCTGAAGAACCTGCAGAGTCTGCGCTGCCTGTGGGTGGAGAGCAACTACTTCCAGACATTTCCACGGGAGCTCTATGACCTACCCCACCTCAAATCCCTTCAGATTGGGGACAACCGGCTGAAGACGTTGCCTCCTGACCTGTGGCGTATGGAGGCTTTGAGGGGATTATGGCTCTATGGGAACCGCTTTGATACCTTTCCCAGAGTCCTGCTGCGCATGGAGAACCTGGAGATCTTGGACCTCGACCGCAATAAGATATCAGAGTTTCCCAGCCTTAAGCGTCTCAAATCCCTACGCCTGTTCTCCTACGACCACAACCCGGTCAAGGAACCTCCAAAAGTGGGCGAGGAGGTGCTGGTAGTTGGGGAAGGGGCGGCAGAGTTCTTGGAGGCACGTGAAGCCAGGAACGAGAGGCTACGAAAGGCCGCAGAGGAAGAGGCAGAGGAGTTAGCTCTGGCAAGTGAGGAGCCGGTGATTCATGGCATCCTGAAGAACAGCAGCTCAAAACAAGCCACAACTGAAGCTGCTGTGACCGTAGAGGATGCAGATGTTCAAGAGGGAGAGCCGATGGTTGAGGAGGAGGAGTTGGAGAAGGGGGAATCGGAGCTGGCGTTTATTGAGTATGATGGAGCCGAGCTTGAATATGACGAAGAGGGTGTTGAATACGAGACGGAGGAGTTTATATGTGAAGGAGAGGGGTTTGAGTATGAGGGAGAGGAGCTGGAGTACGACAGGGTTCACATGGACTATGAGTATGAGGAAGAGGAGACGAGATGAAGGAGCATTAACAAGGTGGATGACAGAAAATCCAAACATCAAAGTTTTTAGGGTAATTGTGGGACTTTCTTAGCCGTGCTGCTAATTTCTAATCCATAATGTGAAAATAAAGTTGGGCATTGTGATACTGTACAGTGAGAGCAGCTGTGACATCTCAATCTGCTGCAAATGATCAAATCAGAGCAGGACTCAGATGAAGTGAATGTGTTTGTTTCCAGTGTGTATGTGAGGGTTGTTTTCTGAGTGTACACAGGGGACCAGGTCTTCCATTATTAAATATTGATGTCTTTGATGAAGTCAGTGTCAATAATTTACGGGGAAATATTTAAGAATTCACCAGTAAAAGCACCAGTATTAGCGCCACTTTAAGGAAAAAAATATAGCTACCAGATATTTTGAGAATAAAATCATAATATAATGAGAATAAGGCGTACATTTACGAGAATAAAGTTTGTAGGCTTCGTCATGTTAGAGGGGGAATATCAGAAGATCGGCCTGTGTTAAAATGAGGAAGGTGGAGTATGTTATGCTAAGTTTAGATGTTACACAAACAACAGAAATACTTGTTGCTCATCAGCACCACATTATCACACTATAAGTAACAGGACTTTTAAAATACTGTTCAAAAAACTGTGTCCATTCTGAAGAGAGAACAACACAGACTTGGAGGAAGTTGCCTCACTTGTGGAGGAGGAAATGTTTTGTCATAGTCGACTGTACAATGCTGCTTACAACTGTTATTCATAGGGATTTCTTTGTTAAAAATGTTGGATCCAGAGAGTAGCTGTTCTGTTTATTCTTGTAATATTAGGATTTTTTACCTCGTTAAACTAGGACGTTATTCACATAATCTCATGAATTTTTCCTCATTAGATCCGAGTTTATAATTATTCTTGTAATATTATAACATTATTCTAGAAATCTTTTTTTTCTTCCCATGGCCCTAATACTCTGTCGTACCATTTACTTGACTGACACACTGTAGTGTTTCCACTCATCATGGTCAGTGTCTGTTTTATGTGCTTGCCAGTGCACCTCAGCTTTACCCGCTGCTATTTTTATAACCAAGTCCTTGCGCGCATGTAAATGTGAGTATTGGATTTACATTTTCAAACTATTTATGACATGCTAAACACAAACCCCCCTCAAACTCTGTCAGTGTTGTGTAAGCAGTCCTGTGAGTGTCAGTGCCAAGAAAGAGAGGGAGACCAGCGAAGATTATTACAGCGATGAATAGCTGGGGTGTCTCACCATAAAAGGTAAGTGCATAGGGAGTCTCCAAGCATGAAAAGCATGAACAAAAAGATGTTTTATTCACATTTAAAAGACTGAAGCCCTCTGCAGGGCAGAGGCCCAGGGGGGTCATGACCTTTGTATACTCCTTTTTGTCGATGACTACACCTTTTTTACCTCCATCTCTAAAATGAAGCAGGTCTGCCCCTTGTTCTCCTCTCATCTCTGCGCTCATTATTCATGTCGTATGTAATCTAATCCTCCTCCCTCCACATATCCTTTCTCACATCTCATTGAAAGAGTGAAATATTTATCCCCATGCTAAAATATTGATGCTTGTTCTCGTGTGGCAGCATGTTGGCCTGTGGCAGGGAAACAGTTGCAGAGCAGAATCATACTCATCATTGCTTCACTGAAATAAAAAAAACTCAAACCGACACGCAACATTGTCCCTTTTGCACACTGTATTTATCACATATACAGTTTTGTGTCATATCTAGGGCTGCTACTGTCAATTATTTTAAAATATAAACTGATTGTTTGGCCATAGATGAATGAAAATTAAGATTATATCAGCAAAGTGATTGGGAGTAAACCTCTGGGGAAAATACATTTTATGATAAGTTGACCACTTAGCATTCAAAATGGAGGACGGATCAAAAAGATAGGAAGATTATAGGCAAACTAGACCTCTGTCAAGGCCCAACAGTCCCCTTATGAAATCAACTTTTGAAGTCACTGCATCCAGATTCTTATTCGGATTCACAGCAAATTAGACAAACTCATAGATATTTATCCAGTAAACATGCCCAAAAATGGTTTTTCATCAAGATCCATGAATTATTTTCTGAGATATTAATGAAATGTTGACACAGAAATCTTGTTTTATTTGACTTGTGTTATTACTGTAAAGCCACTGTAGATTGTGTACCGCAGTATGTGTACTGTATGGAGTTCTGTATGGAGCTGTAGTGTATGAACTCAGTCCTCCTCCTCCTCCTCCTCCTCCTCGGTCCAGGCTCTCATTCCAAAGCTGTGGGTGGCAAACAGTCTGACACAGCACAGACTTTCATGGGAATCAGTGGCATACTCAGTCTGAGTGTAATTATTTTGCTCATTGGTTTACACTCCTCTCATTCTCTGTAGGTCAGTGAGAGGGAGGCAGTCAAAGACAATGCATCGTCCCCTTCACTCCCTCTCTACTTCACACAACTGTCTGACTGTCAAACAAAAAGGACTAAACAAAGAAAAGAAAATTAGACAGGTTTTTATTAGTTTTTGACAGGACTTTTGTAAAACACCACAGATGTGGGAGTGATTAAGGTTCTCAGGGTTTAATCATAAAGAAATAATATTGAAACTGATCTTCCACAAAAGAAATTACACAGATTTTATTCATCTACAAACAAACCACAACCCTAACAAGAAAATAGAATTTATTTTTGTGATTGGTAGCCATGAAGGTAACATCTCAGGTTTTAGCCTCTAAAGATGAATCTGTGAAATAAAAAGAAGTCATGTTAATCAAAGGAAACAGGGGCATGTTGGTTCTTCACATGTTCATCGTGTGCACCTGTCCATGTCCCGACGACTGTAGCTGTTGTCCATGTTTGCTCTGATGATTCCTGCAGCAGAGGGGCCTGATCTCAGCTTTTCTACATCAGCGTCATGACAGAACCTGGAACACAACAAGGTTTTAAACTTGTGTGTATTCAATGATATTTATCACAGTACAACATAGTTAGTCTCAGCTGAAAGTCAGTGGTGGAATGTCATTAAAACATTAACTCAATAATGTACACTGAGGTATTTGTGTTTCAATGTTATATTGACCTCTGCTGTTTTTATTTTCATTTTATTCCAGTATATTAATTTAACACATTACACATACATTTTAAATGCAAAACAATTTTAGAATAGTTGATCCACTATGGTAGATTAAAATAACAAATGTGTATGAATAATGATTAACATATTTATACTAATAAACCTTATATAGCTGCGTTCTATGACAATAGTTACATTATTTTATATTAATGCATCTTACTACTTCTACTTCTACTCCTGTTGTACAACTACTACTATACTACTACTTTAATGATAATAATAATATAAAAACAATTGATATTGTAAAATCAATAATAATACTTGTGCATTTTATTTCCTCCACTGAGGAGGATTTGTTTTCACTGCTGTTTGTCTGTCTTTTTGCCGGTTTATATAAAAATCACCAAACCGATTTAAGTGAAACTTTGTGAAATAGTGGCGCTATAGGCCAAGGAAGAACCCACCAACTGTAGAGTGGTTCCATATAAACATTCAGGAGTTCTTTTTTCACTTTCTTTAACGTGGCGAGATACACTCTCTGAGCGCCCTTCTAGTTTACTTATACAACATTTTCAATTCAACTTCTAATAGAGGTTTCTCCAAACACTTGTTTCATCACTGCTGAAAGTACCAAATGCACTCACTTGCTCCTATAATGTGTAGTGAAGTGTGAACGATCAAAAGGTGCATTAGGGAAAACCTGGTTGCTTGAATTTAGAAGAGACCCAGTGGGCTCCTGAAAAACACAACACACACAAGAGAGTAAAAAACAACAGCTCTAAACACAGAGGTAACAGGAAGCGACAATAAAATGAAAATGTTCAACCTTTTTTCCAATGCGCTTCACAGTTAGTCCATTACTGTCACTCTGGGGCTGTGGGGGAGGTGAAGTCTAGAAGAGCAAAGGGAAGTCAAAGTGATAAAATCTAAATCTGCCACCGCTGGCAACATGGGAGGGGGGGTCAATACTCACTGGACAGGCCAAGGGGGCGCTAGCACCTCGAGTGAATCCTGTTTCTCGACAAGAACGGCTACAGAGGCCTGGAATCGGCTCAGCCCCCTCAAACAGAAGCACAGGAAGAGCTTGTCAAACATCACACATAACAGAACTACAACTTCATTTTTTGCTTTTGTCTATTTAAGTGAGTTCTGTGCATCAACCTGCAGAAATGACGGGAGTAAGAAGTCGTGTTTCATCACTGAGCCGCGGGTCTGCTGAGGTTCAGCCTGAACATGAAGTTTACAAAGACAAAAACATTTGAAGTAGAGGAAAGTCAGCAAGATCACTCATCTCAATAAACATTTCTAAGTGCAGTACAAAGGCAGGGAAGTGTATATGACTTTAAATGAACAGCCCTGTACTCAAGGTACATATCATCCAATGCAATGGAGAAGTTACGTGTTCATAAAATCATTCTCGGAAAATGATGGAGCTCCATTGCTCTGTGGAATTAAAAATTACTAGGTTTTACTTGTTAGTAAAGTCAAATAATTGTTATAAAGTTTTCATATTTATTTTTGACAGCATGAAGATATAAATGTAGAACCATCATTAGAGAAACTCACCCTGCTGCTGTTTTTCTCCTGAAAGGTGATTAGCTGAAGGTTGGTTCCCTCAGTGAAACCAGTCTCTCCTTTGGGACCTATAGTCACAGGCTTCTGGGAAACTGGAGGAAGAATAAACTCAACTTATCAAGTCGATATTTATTTTATTGTGTCACAGCAGCCTATGATATATTTTCAAAAATCTATTTAAAACCTTTGCCAAGGAGGTTATGTTTTCACTCCTGTCAGAGGGTTTTGTTGTTTATGAACAAGATTACACAAAAAACAGCAGAACGGATTTTCATGAAACTTGGTTAAAGGATGGGACACAACCCAGCTTGGCTGATCCACACATTTCTGACATTTTCATTGATTTCTTAGAGAATAATTAATGGATCTTGATATATCAAGTTATCAAGTTTCAAGATCCAAACAAAAATCCTGATTCGTGAATTTAAATGTGGTTTCATTAACCTCAAATCTCAGATGAACTTTTCATTCAAACTTTATTTTACCTGTTCGTGTGAGACAATGAGGCACAAACCATCTTTGGTATTCTGTCTGAAGAAACATAATTCATGAAGACAAATAATTAGAAATGTAGCGTTTGGTTATTCATGATATCTGTGAAACGTTCCAACCCCTCCTGAGTGTATTTACATAGATGGATTTACCTTCTCCTCTTCACCAGTCTCTGGCTGCAGGTGAGTCCTCAGCTGATGGAAGCCGCTGTCTCTGGGCTTGTTAATGAGGTTTGGCAAAGGCCCTGAACAATCAGCGCGGATGTGAGGCTTGTAATGAAGTTTAGTTTGAGTCAGGAAGTTGTTAGATAACAGGAGCCTGTGGACAAAACAACACAGCCGAGTCTGAAGTAACACTTGGATGTAATCAGGCTATTTGCTGAGAATGAACGAACCAACCAATCATGCACCACCTTTCCACATCTTATTTATATTCACCTCTGCTGAACTGGAGCGGAGGGGTTTTTAATCATTTCTGTCTGATAAGGCCGCTTCATAATTTAAAATCCTTTGGACTGTCCTGTAGCACATTTTTGTGTTAGACAAGTTATTTGTATATTTCTTATTCTTACTATCTTTATGGAGTCGCATTATGGTGCATTATTTGTGCGCTTGATATAGGCCAGAGGCTCTCATGTTTTCTTATCCAAGGACCCTCTATAAGTGAATGTTGTTTTGTGATCTGCTACACATCGTCTATTGCTTTTCTGTCCGTCCTGGGAGAGGCATCCCTCACTTGCTCTCTCTAAGGTGTCTGTGTTTTATTCCAAGTTAAAAGGGTTTTGACAGTTCTTCATCACTCTCGTCGAGGGTTAAGAACAGAAGATGTTGCACCTTGTCAAACCCTATGAGGCAAACTGTGATTTGTGAATGTGGGCTTTACAAATAAGATTTGATTGATTGATTGAGATCAGATATACTCTGAGCATCCCATCATTTATGTCCCGTAGAATAATTTGACATAGTCTGTATTTTTTTACATTCAGAGTTAACTGCCTTGCAAGCTTTGCTGTTTTTCACACTTCCACAAAATTCTTGGATTTTCTTAGATATTAGACATGTATTGAAAACATGTTCACCATGTCATCACAGAATACCCACATATCATGATCATTTTAATTGATGTGTCAGGAAACTTTTCACAGACCCTCTGACAGTGTGCCACTGTCAAGGTGAGGTGTGCAGGTGGACCCAAAATGTAGAAGCAAGGTAAACAAAAGGTTTCCTTTAATCATGCCAAAGGTATTTACATGAACAAAACAGAAAAAGGCTGGAAACTAGAAAAGACTGCAACAAGCTGAAGTGAATGAACAAGGTGACAGGATGATAAGATCAACTAAGAAAACATGAGGTAGAGGGAAACACAATGGCAAGCACAGCAAAAGACAACAAACTGACCAAGACGAAGGGAAGCACTGAGACTTATATACACAAGGATGATTGAACACAGGTGAAACACATGAGAAGGGGCAGACAATCACAGGGGCGGGAAAAATGGGAGAAAGACAGGAAGTTAAGCCAGAAATACACAAGGATCATAATTTCAAAATAAAACAGGAAGCGGAGAACTCAGGGGCAAACAACTGAGACAAACCTAAACACAAGGACACATAGGTAAAAGTCAATAAACCAAAGGGTCCATAAAACAGAACCAGCTTTTCATGCTCAAAAGTTCAGAGCGACAGTGGCAGAATCATGACAGCCACTGAGCCCCAGGGAATCCGTGAACCCCCATTTATGAACCACTGATTTCAACATTACTAGATTAAGATATCTGTGGTTATTTAATATATAAATCCAGCTGCTGTTTAACTGAACCGTCTGTAGTAGAGGTGTTGGGAACCACTCACAGTGACACTTACCCAAACTGAGGGTTGTCAGTGTGGTCCAGACTGGGCCTGTAATATATCGCTGGCCTCTGGTTTGCTGTGAAGCCCGTCTCACTGGGATGTCTGAGGTAAGATATTAAACTCACCCTGGCTGGATCTAAGACAAACATACAAATATTGACCATTAGAACCCAAACCATTGAGAGTTACATGTCAAGTAACCTCCCCCCACCTCACCGTGCTCCCTTTCACCATATGATGCCCTGTAAGAAGTATTATAGACTTTGGGTGCATCCCTTGTCAGTTGCCCCCCTGTGCCTCTTGTTCCAGCAGTTGGCATGACTGTGCTCCTCGGCTCAGCCATCTGCGACGTCTGTAACAGAATCCTCCACCCACAACGCTGATGTTTGATAGAACCCCTCAGGGCATGTGGTTGCTGTGGAAGCACAAATAAAAGACAAGCTGTAACTGCCTTGTTTTCAAGTTTGACTGAATCCAACCCAACTCAGAGTTCTGTTAAAAGTGATGAAGGCATCTGTAGGAAACAATGCAACAATTACTCCATTAGCAACAGTGCCACTGTATTTGTGTTTACAGCAGATATAAACTATACCTCAGAAAGAGAAGAGGTAACCTGTTGTGCAAGAACTCTTGGGACGTTCTTGCACCGTGAGGCTCTTTGTTCACCTTTCCGTCTGGTGGTGGTTTTAGGTAAACAGGTTTCCGTTGCTAGGTGATGTGGTGTTAGAGCAGCCTATTACAGCTGAAGTGAGTCTGAAGTGAAAGCTTAAATGCGCACAGTTTACATCACATCAGTTTTTGGTCTGGGCTTTATTTCTTTAACACCTGTCCTATACAAATCATGTCTTTATTATTATTATTTTATGTTGCAGTGTGGAAAAAGGTTCCATTTTACAGTCAGCAGCTCATTCAACTTTCAGCAGTTTATCTGCAGTAACACCATTACACTGGAAAACTAAGCAAACTACATATGAGCAAAATGTCTAGACCAAGGTGTTGAATATCTTTTAATTTGTCTTTCAACAGTCCTGCAAGATGAGCTGAAATAGTCCAAATGGTTTTATTTTGGGTTGTCAAACAACACACCTAGATAACAGTGGAGTTGGAGATTGCACCACTGTTGCACTACTAGACTCATTATTATATATATGTGTAAATACAATTAATTTATATTGTCTGAGAGTGAAAGATCATTTCTGTAAAGTCTATTTTTATGTCATTTCTTTATTTTTGTGTGTTTGTTTGTTTGTAAGCATGATCATACAAAAACTACAGGATGGATTACCATTAAACTTGGTTTAAGGATCTGAGTAAGTGAAAAACCCATTACATTTAGGATTACACATACTGTATATGTATTTGTGCAAATAGCAGCCGCAGAGGAATGATATGGTGAACAGTGTTGCAACAGGTAAAAGTTGTTGTTGTGTGTGTGAAGTGTGTGTTAGTGTTTGCTAGTGGTGAGGAGCTGTGTGTATTCATGATCCTGATGGCTCTGTGGGTAGAAGCTGTTTGCCAGTCTTGTTCTGAAATATCTGTAGCATCTGATGGCAGGAATGTGATATATCTGAAATGTGGTGCAGATAAATGTGAAGTGACTGTTGGGCCTTGGCGGAAGTATTCACTTTTTTTAGTGGAATTCTGGTCTTGTCTGTTTTGGCGGTAGAGCGTTGTGTTTACAGTACAGGTTGCAAACCTGTTTTGTGATTTTTTTAATTTAAAATTAACCTGACGTTTTTTTCAATTCGCCCACCTGGAGATCACTTAGTTGCCAGGCTCCAGCTTTGAAAGTCACTCCATGCATCCACTGGATGGCAGTGTGATGCCACAGTGGCTCCAGCCCAGAAAAGATATGATGTTATGTAAAAATGATGGATGGCTTGAAATTTGCATGGCATCTTGATAACAGCGTCGATTCGAAACAGGGAGTTATCACCCACCTCTGATAGCAGGAGAAAATGTCCGTACACCATCTATACAACATTAACACCTGCGTCCCAGTTAAATCCAGCGGACGCTCACCTCCTGGTGCATTTATGCCAGCAGGAAAAAACTGTGTAAGCTGGACATCAGGGTTATTTTTCCACAGACATAGATATAGATGCATATTCTTACTTTCACCGTTTTTTTGCACAAAACAAACCAGTGTGATTTCTATCTAATGGATGTAATACATCTCTTAAGATCCCACATGGTTCAAATATAGTTTAACATTTCAGGTGGGACTCTGAATGACAATTTAAAATCCCACTCCTTAACCTTTGAATCATTAAATTTGACAATAACAATCACATCAATCAACCAATCAATCAATCAAATTTTATTTGTATAGCTCATATTCACAAATCACAATTTGTCTCATAGGTCTTAACAAGGTGTGGCATCCTCTGTCCTTAATCCTTCAACCAGAGTCAGAGAGAACTACCTATTAACAGGAGGAAAAGTATATAGAAACCTTAGTGAGCCCAGGACAGACAGAAGTGCAATAGATGCCTCATAAACAAAACAACAGTATTTACAACATTGATTAGAAGAAACAGTTTGTGAAACATCGTCTCCACACATATTCTTCAATTCACACTCCTTCCCAATCCTCCTCTTTTCGTCTCATTTCCTTGGACTCACACCACTTCTTCACCTCTGTCACATCCCTTCTTGCTCCCTTTCTTTCCTCCATCTGTCCAACACTGGCAGTCGGTGGAGCCTATCCTTACCAAGCTGTTGCTTGTGTTGCTTGTTCCCCAGTCTTTCTCTCCTGACATGCTGTGGTGCCAAGTCTGGAAACTGTTCATTATCTTCTCTAAAAAATAACTACAGGGAAACGCCTGCATCATTGAAACTGACAGTCTCATTTCCTGCGTCTTTCTCCTGAGCACAATGTGCACATTATTGGCATTTCTAATTATAAATTGACAGGGATCCATGCAGCAGGAATAAAGTGTGCAGGCGCAGAGTTCCCTTCCAGTCAAAGATTACAGTAGATTTCACTTATTGAGGCTGAGAGTCAGAGAGGAGGAAGCCATCAGTGGAAGCACCTGCTGCTCTCTGTTTGAAATGAAAACCTGCAGACACTCAGCTCTCCTCTGATTGTTCATCTCCGCAGTACAGTTGTTTTGCATCTGCATGATTCACATGTAACACAGCAAACCAGAATCTTAGAAATGACACCAATACTAAAAATACAGGGGGAAAGTGAGATAACTCTTACAGAGGGAGCTTAAAGAATGAGGAAAAAAAGGTGGGTGCGGGGTTTCTATAAATAGATGGAGGTGATGCAAGCGAGGGTCTCCCGTTGAGTTGATGTGCTTGGCTTGCCTGCAGCCGTCTGTTGTAGTTCAGGGAGGGATGAAACCTCGGCCCCATGTCTGCAGGAGCTCGGCTGCCTGAATGCTTGCCTGTGTTTATCTGCCCAACTCTGCTCCTGATGTTCTGCAGAGAATCTCCTCGGTTTCTCTGTCGATTCAATAGCGTGTTTCCATGTCTGCCACAGAACAGCCTGGAATTAATATTTAGAGAGACACAAAGAGACAGCTCAGGCACTAAGACCCCTCTTTTTTGTGTCGGGCCTCGGAGGTGCTCTCTCCGCTTCACTGCTTCACTGTTCTCAGGCTTATCTCCTCGCTGCCTCTTCTTTGACTTCTGTACTTAATAGGGAAATCTTGCACAGAGGGTTTGGAGTAAATTGCATTGTCATCTTTTCCATTTAAAGTTTGAGTCAGCTTTGGTGCGTGTCATGCTAAGGAGGTAGACAGTGGTGAGCCGAGGGGGATTCAGGCGTGAAATAAAGACATTTTAAATCAAGACACAATTGTTTTCTGCCATGTAGAAGACAGGCTATTTTGTAATTTGATGAGATGGAGATTGCACTCTTTACTATCGGGTAGATGTTGCCAGAAATACCTCTTGTTTATGTAATTTCATGTGTTATGGATTGAACCTACAACACACAGCTAACCTCAGAGTAACTGTGGTGTCAGAAATGAGACACTGCATGAACAATGCAGGAGCTAATTAAGCAACATGAGAAAATCTGTCACCATCCTTGAAAATGGGATGAAAGATTCTTCCGAGTGAAGCATGTAGCTGTGTGATGTGGAGCTCAGAGTGGAGGCTTTCTAGTTTACACATTTTTAATTGCTCTCAAAGTCAAAAACAAGCTTCACAAATTGTGTCTATCAGCAAATGGATGCTACACATTGAATCCAAATGGCATCATTACAGGTTCTAATCACTTATATTACTGTTTAATTTCATTGTAATTACATTTGAAAACACCAGGGTACAAGTAGAGCTACATCCTACAGCTACAGCTATGTAGGGTTCTCGAAAAAGTTTAATCTGCAGGTAGTTTCCATGCATTTTTGGGGCCCTATTGACAGTCTATTGAAATTGTAATGCTACAACCGATCCCTCCAGTTTAACGATGACAGTGTGAAGGCCCTTTCCTGTTTGGGCCCCTCTCAGCTCAGGGCCCCAGGCAATTGTCTGCTTTGCCTACTCTATTGTAACACCCCTGCTCATAATGACTGAGCTAATTTGCTGATGTTTAGCAAAATGAATGTTTACTGAGTTATTAATCTTTGTTTACAGCCAATTAGCACTAATTAGCAGTGGTGTAGGTTATTATAGTGATTGACCATGAAACAAAGTAGGTAAAGGTTTGATCTGATGATGGTGCAACATGAAAGGTGAAATCATAGAGTTTATCCTCTTGTGACCTAGAAGATCAGTCGCAAATGTCATCGCAACTCATCCCGTAGTTGTCGAGATATTTCATTCCAACCTTATAGTGGGTGTTAACTCGGAGGGTCACAAACATTTTTAGGATTCACCCACTGGGGACCATGACAACCTAGTGAGTTAAACCTCGAACATGAAAATTGACTCAAACAATAGGTCAATTATAAACACTGTAAATCTTCTGTCAGCCAATTAATGACTTAATCAAGTAATTGATTTAGCTACAGCAGCATGTTGGTTATTTGTCTTTGGTATGTTAAATATGTTAAACCTCATACCATACAGGTATGATGTTTAATTATTTACATATTTTGCTCCAGTGTCAGATACACTGTTGAAGAAACCTCAGAAAACACAATTAGACAGACAAATGAATCTCTGCACACAGGTGTAGTAAAAATTATTTTTTAATATGGAACAAAATCAGAGCTCAGCTCCATGGCTCCGTCCACCCAACACACTCTGTAACACTGATGGGTGGAGGAGAACGAGAAAATCAACCAGTAAGATCACAGTCCGCTCGGCCAAAAAACAGGAGAGGCTAAAAAAACATGGAACGCAAAACTAAAGTGCTACTGGGTTTGACCTCGAGACGCCCTCCCA